GCTACATACATAAAATTGTACAATTTATTTAATATTTTAGATTTTAGAGAAGGTTAGTTAGAGTAGGATCAGGAACCCCCCCACCCCACCCCCGTAAGAAAATCTAATAATTAACCAAAAATTGCACGTAAAATTGAATATAAAATCCGTTTTTCAGTCTTTGCTTATTTTTTAGTTTTCTTTTAAAAATACTTACAAAGATGATAATACCCATCTTAGATCTAAACTAAAATGAAATTAAACGTAGATCTAGGCCTATAGGTCTACATCTCTAGATCTAGAAATCTACTTGGCTCTTTTGGCAAGTCTTGTCTTAGCCTAGTCTATTGCTGAACAAGATGATAATCAATAATCCGACTATCCTCGTTGAAATAGCCAAAATCTTGGTGTCAATCAGTGAACCAGCCAATGGGCTTGGCTTACGACCATCACTTGCTCTGGCTTTGGTCTTTGGCAGACAAGGCAAGCCAACGAGCAAGCAGCGAGCAATGCGCGCGGTTCAGGCTAGCACCAATGGCGTCACCTTCTCGGAAAGAGGCCTTTGCTGATTGGTCAAGATCTACATGATATAAAAGTGAAGTGTCGTTGTGCAAGCAGCTTTAAACGATTAGTGTATAAATAGACAAAAGCTCATTTCATGATTCATTTTGATATGCCACTTGGCATTTTCCTTTGGTCTTTACTAGCCTAGCCTAATTACTGACAACAACAAAATCAAAATGTGATGAATGAATAATACAGACGATCAATAAAGTATAGTGTTACACAAACAGAAGTTATAATATAGCAAGTATTTAATTATAATGTCCTGTCTATTTTGACACCAGCATAATGAGTACTATCAAAAACAAAACAAACGGCTAAAACCCCCAATTAAGCTGATATTTTAGTATAATTTTTATGTTATGTCAAGTGTTCTGATAAAGCCGTACGTTGGTAGTATTATTCCACCTTTAATTTTGCTTTACTGCTTTCCAGTAGGCCTACAACTTATTTGGAGAGCAGAAGACCGAATGCTACACATTGGTTAGACATTGAATGAATTAATTCTGGAGAATGAAAAGTCTGTTCGGAATATTAACGAACATTGGCTTAGGCGTACCCCTATTTATTAAGCCTAAATTTACTGTCGTCATTTGTCTTGCCATTCGTACCCTCAAAACATAGACCTAGGAAAGAGATAATGAATAAAAGCACACATTTTGTCTCTCTTTAAGGGCTGCCTATTTTTTTTAGCCTATTCCACGGCATCGTCCTGGCAACCACACTCTAAATTTCTTTGTGCGGTACATCGATTTGCAGCGGCCATTTTGTCGAAGCAGCGTGCTTGAGTAAGAGGTGGCCAGTGGCGTCTTAGAGAAATTTGATTGCATTGCTGTTATTGTTTGTGGTCGTAGGTGAGTCTTTTTGCATTTTATTGTTTGATTTGTAGGCTTTTTGTATCAGTGTATAAAAGTCATTGTTGTCCTATTTAATTAATATTATTCCAATCTTCCGAGTTGCTGTTTGTAGCGCTCCTGGACTGACCGGCTTTTCGGAGTGTCGGCGTCAGCTTGGCGCGGTAAAAGAGCATGATTTGTCACAATTTAGGCCCATTGGATTGTATTTTGGGGATCCTTGCCATGGGTTACCATTCCCCAACCTTAACATGTTTTTACGTCGATTCTGTTCAGTTGTGCAGATGTGATGCCAATTCAAACTGTCTGACTTCATCCTACTACTGTAGACTGTAGATTTCTAGGCGATTTTGTAGTTCGTTCGTTAAAGTTTAAAGTCAAGAGTAGGGTGGTTTTAGATCATCCCCCCCCTGAATGTTGTCCTAATTTGATGTTTTGCAGTTAGGTTGCATCCCTGCTCTTTGTGTAGCCTATTTCAAATCTTATTTGGTTATCAAAACTCGGGATGTAAACAAAAAATGGATCGTGGACTTAAATGAAATTAATGACTGCTTCTCAGGGGTCAAAATGCTGGGTACAACTTAAGAATCTGGGCGCTTTTTCGGTAGTTCCCACCCCGCAATTGTTATTCACGGGTTTTGGCCCCAAGAGTAGGGGGGTTTCGGCGCTTTTTCGGTAGTTCCCACCCCGCATTTGTTATTCGCCGGTTTTGGCCCCAAGCCCAAGAGTAGGGGGGTTTCAGGGGGG